TAGAGACAGTCGGGGTGAAGAAGCGGCACTCGTAAGTTTTAGTTTGAACTGTGGTAGAACCTAATTGAAAAAAAAAATATTTAAGTGAAAAAGTTTTTATATTGTTTTATTACAGAGAAAAAGAGAGAGTTTCCTCACGGGCTGTGAATGTATCACTCGGATGACAATTTGATCATAAGCTATATCCAAGTTAATTTGATCAAAAAAAAAAAAAGTAGGTCACGTAAACGTTTTGGGAAGCGGGGAGTTTGCAATAATTATTATTTTTTGCTTTAATATCCACATAAACTGGAATATTGACACTGGAACAGCCACATATAGACTCTCAGATTATGTTTTAAAACCAACGGCAGGGTTTCATTACTGCTGATATTTGTACATTCAGCTGGAAGAGAAGTTACACATTTTAGTCTGATGACAAAGCATTCCCATCCTAGCCAGAATCATGGTCACATACAGACAATTTGATGAGTTTATTCACAAACTCAGACTTCACATCATGTTTTTCTGCAGATCATCTCACCTCTGAAGAGTTTGGTTTTCTCTTTATGAATGATGTCTTCACACTTTTGTCTCCTGAGGAGTTTTCATTAATTTCAAGTCTGAAGAGTTTGTTTGTTTTCATGAAATAAATTTCAGATTGCACATATTTTTGCGTATGTTTCTTTCAGGGATCGTATGAAAGAAGGTAAGGCTGCACAGTGGCGCAGTTGGTAGAGCTGTTGCCTTGCAGCAAGAAGGTTCTGGGTTCAATACCTGGCCACAGTCTTTCTGCGCGAGTTTGCATGTTCTCCCTGTGCATGCATGGGTTTTCTCCGGGTACTCCGGTTTCCTCCCACAGTCCAAAAACATGTCAGGTTAATTGGCCTCTCCAAATTGCCCCTAGGTGTGTATGCATGGTTGTGTGTCTCTGTGTTGCCCTGCGACAGACTGGCGACCTGTCCAGGGTGACCCCGCCTCTCGCCCGGAACGATAGCTGGAGATGGGCACCAGCAACCCTCCCGGCCCCACTGAGGGACAAGGGGGTAAAGAAAATGGATGGATGGATGGATGGATAAAGAAGGTAACAGAGCACTGTATGCAATTTAACTCACTTGTTAAGTTGCCTCCTCCTCAAACCTGAGTTTAATCAAAGAGTGAAAACAAAAAAACATGCCAAAGGAAACTGAGGACAAGTTTTTGGACGCATTATGAGCAGGGGAAAACGGTGGAGGCAGCATCATGCTGGCTACAAACTGACAGCACAGCTTTCAGGTTTTCCATCTGTAAAAAAAAAAAAACTAATTGTTTTAGATGACGTCTTAAATTGTGACCAAAGGTCTGTCAGAACTCCATACGTTCTCATAAAAAACACCACCAGCAGTTGTTTCAAACAGCGTTTATTCCTGTGAGAAAATATTGTCTCAGGCAGACAATAGATCTTGCGGTAGACTTTAAATGACAAGATCAAAAAAATCTGTGCCACCGAGAAAAATGAAAACAATCTGTAGTCTGCTGTCTACAGTTGTGTGTCACCGCGCTTTCTGCTGACATGTTGGTAAAACACCGTCACTACTATAAAGAGCTACTTCAGCGTCATACATAAATCTTTTCAATAATTCAGGTTTTTTTTTTAAATAACTCCCTCTACAGCAACAAATTATAAATTAAATTCTATATTTGATTTTTGCATTCCTTAAATTACTTCATGTAAGCGAATATAAACAAACATTTACATATTTACAAAACTATACACATGCACTTTTACCACACTGAGATTGTATACATAGATGTATCAGCTGTACATGAACAGACGCAGTAGGTTTTGCCACATATTTGGCTCCAGGAAACACCAATCGTATAGATTTTATTAAAACTAGACCATTTGTGCTTTTCAAGTCTTTCCAGCCGGATTTACTAGCAAAGTTCTTCACCGTTGGGTAATCGCTTTTCTGAATCACCGCTGTAGTGGTATCTGCGCCGACCGCTGTCAGTCTACTATCATATTACAGTTTCACAATATGGAAAATAATCAAACACGAACAAAGTTTCACCAAAAGCGTCTCATAACTGGACCTAAAAGTTTCAAAAATGTTGGCACTGTCAGCTGGAACAAAAATCATTTCAGCTCGAATTAAAGAATTTTACAAGCTAATAAAAATAAACCTTAGAATAAAAGAGATTGAGTTTAAAGAAAATGATAACAATGTGATGACTTTATATTTAGAAAATCTAAAAGATTTAAAGGAAATGTTTGGTGGCCTCCACAGAAACCAGGTATTTACATACTCCTCACTGTCTGTCTGACTGACCTTCTCCTGTTTCCTCTGCTGAAGAAGTCGAATGAAGCTGATAAAAGTGTCGCTATCCACAGTGAAACTATCCCTGAAAAGCCACGCAGAGAGGAAGAAGCCATTACTTGAAGAGCAACGTAAAAAAAGCTAAACTACAGTTTAGATCAAAGATCAACATCCTGCAGTCTGAAGAAGGCTAAGAAGGGGCAGATTACAAATCTGATAACACCATTCTAACAGTGAAGTACGGCGGTGGCAGCACCATGACGTGGTGCTGCCACCGCCGCCATCATGAGGAGGGATATTATTTAGAAATATTGAAGCAACCTCTTAAGACATCTGGGAGAAATTTAAAGCTGTGGCACAAACTGATCATCCAATAGGGCGAAGTCTTATTGGATGATCAGTGAGTCCAGTGTATGTAAACATCTGGTTTCAGCTGCGTGTAAAACTCCAAGTCCAGGTGTGAAACGCATGCTAAGGTGAAACTTTCACACTTCATTATACACAGTGACATTTCAAGAGCAAATACAATCTAAATATGTTTGGAACCATAAGCAATCCCTTTGACACACATCTCTCTGTCTGGTCTCCACCCACTTTGGCCTGATGCACAAACTTCATATCAACACACAGCAACAGTGGTTGTGGAAAACTCCATTTTTAAAAATGTACATAGAAAATAATTAACAAATTGATTTATGAAAAACATTTATGGAACCTCGACCAAGTCCAAGCATAGTAAACCTCCAAACACCATCAGCTTTACTGGTTTTAAGAACTTTAAAGGAGCTGCTGTGGATTCCTACAAACAGCTCGTTTATGATGATAAAATCCTTTTAAAATAAACTTCATATAAAATTGGAGGGAGTGAAGTTGAGATTTCGTCTCACGTGGTTTAAATGCACCATGGCGCGGTCGTACGCTGTGTGGACCGACTTGCGAACGCTGGGCTTCTTGCCCTCCATCAGCCGCAGCTTGTCTACAGTGTCATCCATCCCCAGCGGCAGCAGCTTGTTACGAGGGAGCCACTGCCTGAAAACAAACACAGGAAGGTTTGAAACTCAGACTTTTACATTTAGACTGAAACACCATGCGTTTGCTGATGTGTCCAATATCTTACCAAGTTCTCTTTGTGTCAAAGAAGAGCACCAGGAAGAGCTTGTGGCCTTTGTCAGTGTGCCTCCATTCCCCCAGTTTGAGCACCTCTCCAGGAGGCACTGGGATGGGGATGCCGTTATGGAGCAGTCCTTCTTGAGGCATGTCGGGGTCAACGATCTGCAACAATCACTGAGGTCAGCTGCACGGCTGCTGGTGCTCATTCAGCAGTTAGCTCAGCTCTTTCCACAATGACTCTGAATAACTTTGGCTAGAAACCAAAACAAACCAGCTAATGTTTCCAAATTTAGATGCAACAAATCCAGGTATTTAACAGGTTTTCAGTTTATTCCTACAATATCTGCACTGAATTTCTACAAAGAAGGACACCAAAAGTACAAGTAATATGTTTTTAGTCGGGCTGAAATGATTAATCGATCATTGAAATAATTGTAAACTAATTTTATAACTGATTAATCACTAACTGGAGCACACAGATTCAAAAAAATGACCACTTGCTGAAATAACAACATAGTCAGAGCAGTTAATTAAAACTTAGTTTCTTTTCCTCCGCTTAGTAATATGCTTAAATTCTTCAAGTGGCAGTTTTAGCTTTGCTCAGTTCAGATTTACCAAAGGAATGCCATGGTATTGCATTTTAGGCAATAAAATGTTTATTTTGTTATTTAAAAGAGAGATTGAATTATTTTATTGTATTTCTAATATTGCATAAACAAGGCTTATATGGTTAAATGAAAAAACATGAGAATGTACCATTTAAAAAGAAAATCTGATTAATGTCAGAATTATCTAGTTTAATCGATTACTAAAATAATTCTTAGTTTCACCCCTATTTTACATATGGAATCCATGTGTTTTTATTTTACTTTATACATAATTTTCCATCCTACAGAAAAAAAGATCAACCCTATTTATGTTAAATATTATGTTTATCTTTATTTTAAATCCTAAATATAGAACTAAAATGGCCATTCTTTAAAAATTTCCAATAGTAGATATTTATCTAAAGTTATAAGTTGTCTTTTTTTTAAAACTCATGTGGTATTTATGTCTCTAAACGAGTCTCATTTGTCTGTTCCGACGGTAAAAATGGCTCTTTGGGGTGTAAAGGCTGGGTTAGCTGTACACAGCAGGAACTCACCATTGCTGGATACGACGGGTATCCTCGACATTTTGCCCAAACCAAGTCCAGTGGTGAAAGTTCGGTCTCACTATCTATAGACAGAAGCGCAGACTTCCCTGTGAACAGGACGCTCCATTAATACTCCTCATCTCTATTCACTGCAGCTTAAAAAATGAGAGTTTATTCAAAACTGTATGCCATGCAATCACGTTTGGTACAACATGATACACACCAGAGCTGGAGATGTCTCCATTTTCCTTGCTGGGAACCTTAGCCAGAGCTGGCTTACCTCGACTGCGTTTGGGAGGGGAAGCACTACACATGAGAGAAGCAGTAAACATGGATCATTTTTACCTTGGAGCTAATAAAGTCAGTTCTAACATAGTTCTAACAAAATGTCTAACATAGATTTAAAGATTTCCTTTGTACTGAATGTTTTCATTCAAGTTTTCATTGAATTTTCAGAAGCATTGAGACTTTTTGTCAAATTTATTATTACAGCTAAAGGTTATATTACATTGAGGTTTTATGTTTCTTAACCACTGCTGTAAACCAAGTTTTCTTTGAGAAACAAGATCTGAACTAGACTAAAGGCATTTCAGGACAAGATCAAGCATTTTTTTATTAAGACATAGAAATGATCCCACTGTCTTCTAACTAAACCACAAATGGCCACATTTAGATTATGTGGAGAACCATACAAATTTGGTAAACCCTGCTGTAGTCCTCCATTAAAGTTGGTTAAATAAAGCAGCCATTTTAATAGAAAGTGTGGCACAAATCATGTTGTTATTAATAACATCCAATGGATCCTACAGGAATTTTCTAATTTATTGAAACAGACGCTGACTATGATCTATGTAAATGTTCTTTAACACCACTGGACAATAAATCAATAACATGTATCACACTTGACATGTGATCAAAATCAATAGAAAATTCAGTAATTTCACTGAACTCTGATTCAGAACAGCACAGCATTCTGGGAGGTGGCGGCATTGGAAAGGCTTTAGCCGCTCAACTTCTCACGGCCAGACAAGCAAAGTTGGTGGAAACAACTGACTCACTCTTCTGTTACCTAGCAACTCACTCATTCTTTGGTTACCTAGCAACTCACTCACTCTTTGGTTACCTAGCAACAACTTGTGAGTAACTAGTGCAGCAGCAGTTTCATGTTCACTACTGTCCCTCATAACTCCTTATAAATAAAAACAGCGGTGTGGAGTGAAAACTGTGGATAAAACAGGAAAGGTCACACCACCAGTTTGGAAGTATTTCAGATATTTAAAACAAAAAAAAAAAACTAATTAATAATTATCAATATGGCCTGATATGAAACACGTATAATGTGATAGGTTTTACAGTCCAGCCCTTCCACCACTACGCTGGTATGAAATTATTCGTTCATTGCATCTGATGTCCTGTACTCACGTTAGGTTTGGGTCATCATCCTCGTCCTCCTCCTCATCATCAGCACCGCCATCTTGGTTTCCAGATGTGTGCTTTCCATTAGTCAGTGCTAGAAAAACCAAACATTGAAACTGATCAAAGATGACCTTTCTGAGCAGCTTAATGTGTACAGTGCAGGGATGTGTCCTGCCTTACCTTCTTCTTTGGGGGTTGCAGTCGATTTGTCAAGTTCGCTCTCAGAGCTGGGGCCTCTGGACCTCAGGTGGTGTGAGGAAGGAGAGGAGGGGGCGGGAGAGGCGTTGGGGGTAGGAGGTAAGGCGGTGATGTTCTCACTGGGGGGATTTGAATCGACGGCAGCGCTGTCCAGCCCGTTGGTCTTCTCTTCAGATGTTTTCCCATTTTGCCACTGGGACGACTTGTTTTTTCTTGCCCCGTTTTTAGCTTTCTTAAACAACACGGACGTGCGCCGGCCGACTCCAACCAGCGGCAGAGCCGGAGGCGAGCCGAGCGGCGTCACCTCGTGAACAGCCTCTGGTTGGGAAGACGGCGTTTCTCCAACTTCGGCCTCATCCTCACCTTGGCTTTTGCTGCCGCTGCGCGAGGACCTCTGACGTTTGTAGGAGCGCCCAGGTGACCTCTGACCTCCGGTTACAATGCCCAGGACAGGTGGTTCCAGGGGAGCGTCTCCTGGTAGAGGTGACGACACTGGACAGGTGAGTTCAAGAACGGGCGGCGAGTCATCTGCATCAGGGAGAAATCAGTCAGAATATTTAAAAATATAGTTTGTTTGTTTTTTTTTACACAAATATTTAACCATTTACTGAATTCACTCTGTAATCTGACTTCTTCTAATCAATGCTGACAAAAATGTCTTCATCATGATCAATAGACTGTTAAATAATGTCCACATACAATCTTTATGGCTACAAAACATAATTTAGATGCTTGTCAAGTCCAGCTTTTTAAAATGCAGATCATATTCTGATATCCTTACAACTCAATAAGCTTGTGAAATTAATAATTTATTCATGATTAAGAATACCATTAAGCAAAAGTTATTTTATCATAATTCCTTTACCTCCTTAATAATAAACTAAAAGTGCAATATTATGAAAAAACCCCACAAAATATAAAGTGTTTATATTATAAAGCACTTTATGGTATTCTGACCTGTAAAATTTGTTAAATAAATAACATTTTCTTAGTAAGTTTATTTTATTAGTAGATTTTTATAGAAAAGTGATCTTTATATCAATCCTAGCAAATATATTTTAGGATGATTTAATTTCCTTACCAGGGAAAACCTCACTCTACAAAATAAAATGATAAAGTGTTAAAATAATAAGAGTTCTCCTACATCAAGCTCTAGGCTGGCAGGACAAATTTGTTACAGTTTTTTTGTTTTTTGTGGTTGTGCACAAAATGATTCCAGCATCAAGCAATGCCCAGCTGAATTTTAAATTGATCAAATCTAGATCCAGGGATTAAGTCTGGTAGTTTATCTAAGGTGTCCAATCAGATCTTCAAAGTTTCCTCCACTTGGAGCTCATTCTTTATTTTTCTCCCCAAACTACTAAAACAGTTTGAGAACTCCAAGATGTGCACCTGTGTTTACGATAGGTAAACATTTCAAAGAAAAGATATCTTCACGCTATCGACATGCTAAACGTTTAATTGTTCAATTCCTTTCAGAAATCCCCTTGAACATTTTACATTTGACTGTTTTGTTCTTTACTTAATTAAATGTTCAGATATATTAGTGTCATTACAAATAAAATAATTATTGTTATTCAATAATTAAATTATTTTGTATCTATTCCTCTCATTCCTTCTAATAAAATATGCAGCAAGGACTTACAGATTTAACATATTATTTTTATTATTATTCTACAATAATGATGAAAATGCTGTGATGATCCTACCTGACCCAGAGTTTGGCACATCAGACAAAGGCTCAGTATCAACGTCCACCTTGTCTTTTTTCTTTATTTTTTCCTTCTGTTCTTTCTTCCTCTTCTTCTTCTTCTCCTCCTCCTCCTCCTCTTCATCATCGTCATCATCGTCGTCCTCCTTGTTATTTCCGTTGACAGGCTGAACGTTTTGCTGCTGGCTCATCTTCTGCCTCAGAGCGTTAATCTCCCGGCGCAGCAGCCGGATGCGTTTGGTGCGGCCGCCGCTCGTTCGCATCGACGTCACCATGTCCAGTTTCTCCAGTAAGGCCTTCAGCTGCTCCTCTGTGGTTAAGTGCAGCCTGTTTTCAGGGTCCAGCAGAGAGTCGACTGTGGAGAAACAAACAGTGATCAAGGTCAGAGGTTTACATACGCTCATCACAGGCATGAACAGCATTAGTTTTAAAATACCTTCATACTGCGTAGGGTCAAAAATAAACATGTAACCTCCACTAATATTTGGAGAAATGTCCTTTAAACTGCAGAAAAAGCAAGATATAGTTGATGTAGCCGTAAACAAAATCCTAGCACAAATGTGGCTGAATATTAGACCAACTTCATTCAGAAAAATGAAGTTTTATTCTCAGAGGAAACAAAGATTAAGGTGGTCAGCACTGGAAGGTTTCAACCTGAAGAACACTACCAACTGTGAAGCACAGTGGAGCTAAACAGCAACCTTAATGCTTTTGGTGCCTAGACCAATGAAAATGCTTGCCAGCCAATCAGTGACGATTCATTGAAAAAAAAAAAAAAATCAGATGCAGCTTTGAGTTTTCAGCTGTTTGTTTTAAGGGTGATGAATATCTGGAGGTCAGGGAGAAGCAGCTAGTTAAAAATGTCCACTGTTCAAATTTGTATGTAAAATTTTACGTTTTAAAATGCGTCTCTAATGTCTGTCTATCCAAATTTTTTCATAAAGACTGATTTATGTGATCAAGCAGTTATATTTTTAACCACGTGGGTCATAGAAACTTCACAATAAAGTCTAAAAATTTAAAGTATGTAATAACTCAACACTAAAAATGATCACCATGACAATCATCATCATGAGAGCATGCATATTTCTCACCAGCGTTGCATTTGTAGAGTGCTTAGGAAAGAGTACAACTAATTTTTCAGCTCACCGTCCTCCCATGTGCACTGATAGAAGCCGTGTTTGTTCGGTGCCTCAGGCAGATGCATGCCAGTGCTGGGGTCAAGGCCGATGCTCTGATACTGCCTCTGAGCGTGACGCAGAACGGCTCCCCCCACTTCCCTCAGCTGTAAGGCCGTCTTGTGGAACAAAGTGTCCTTGGAGTTGTATTTGAGGCAATTGGAAATCATCAGCTCAAAGTCTTTCTCCAGGTCCCCGATGGAGCAGTAGGCGTGTCCCTCCAGTTTGTTTCGCATCGTTGAGAAGTCCATGGGTTCGGATATAAACTCGAGGTAATCTGGGACCTCAGTATAAAATTCAAAATAAAAATGTTAGCCGGTCATGCTCGCAGGAAACATTTGCTAAATAAAACGTGTATTTCAGGAACTCCACCAACCTCTGACAGATTGACTGGCTGAGAGAAGATTTTGGCCGAGTCCTTCTCCTGTAGTTGGTCCAAAGTTGATTTGAGAAGCACCTGTGCAGGAGTCAGCGACAGTTCAAGGGCAGCCTGCTGGATTTTCATCTGATGACGTAGAAACACAGCAGAGAGCAGAGAAAATTAAAGGTCATGCTTTAAGACTTAAACTAATAAATGTCACAAAGGGATGATAAAACCTCTTAATACTTAATCATACAGAATATAAATAATTTTCTGTGACATTATATATGTGTGATGTTTTCAAAGCCAAAAATTAGTCAATTTATTGATATTTTGACTGGTGAATGAGAAATGAAGGTGTCCAATAGTCCAGTAGACTGGGTCTGATTAGGGATCAAAATTGTAACATTTGTTACATCTTGATCTGATGCGGTTCGCTTTCTCACTGCACTGTGTCAATCGATCCAAACCAATAGAAAAACCTGTTCCTCTTCATGCCTGTGGTGGCGCTGTACCAAGAACCACATAGGTAAATGACACAAAAACCTCTGAAGAAGACATGAGCGCAACTCCCCTCTTCACAAAATGATAAGACAATGAAGTGATGTCAGTTTTAGCACTTGTAGGATTTTTATTTTGTCTTTGGTAAAAGACCAAGAGCCATTTCTCCTGCTAGCGTTAGGTCTGGTTAGGTTGTATTTACCCAGAATGCCCTACACTGCAGTCCACTTCCTGCTTTTGGACCGCTTGGTATTCACATCACTTCAACCAAAACAGAGACCAAGGTTTTTGTCTTTTTTGTTATCTGCATCAGAGTTCGATTCCGTATTCACATCTCCCCAAACGAACTGGACTGGTGTAAATGAACTCTAAGTGATAAAGAACTGTTTTAAGAAACGCATCCCTCCTCCTTTACCTGTTCTCTTTTAAGCCTCTCTCTCTTGCGGATGAGTTCCACTAGAAGTCGAGCTCTTTCCAGGTCTTGCCTTAACTTCTGCCAGTACCGTAACTCCTCTCTTGCAGCACTTAGCTTCTCATCGGGTTCCTTCTGAACATCGAAGTAAAGGCACAAAAGGTATTTACTGTTAATTCTTCAAGTATGAACAATATCTCCTGCAGAATTTGTTATGAGGAAGTGATAAAGTTTGTTATTACTGGCATGAAAACCTATACTTAAACTTCTGCAAGTGGCATTGAGTCCACAGAGTTTTGGTGCTGCTTCTTTAAACAATGTAAAATGAGACAAACACAAATCTAAACAGTGTGGTGTGCATTTGTACTCGGTCCCCTTTTTTCTGATGCTACTAAATAAAATACAAATGCAAGCAAGATATGGTCGTCCACCTAAATCGACAAGCTGGGCAAAATTAGTATTAAGCTGAAAACTCTGAAGGAGCTACAGATATCCATTGCTTATATGGAAGAATGTATGGAGAACACGTTTTTTAGTTCAGCAATCCACAAATCTGACCTTCATGGAGCATTGGCAAGAAAAAAAGCCATTAAAAAGACTTGGGTAGAGTTGGTAATAAGCCTACATGGCAAGACGCTT